AGAGAAAGCAGAAACTAGCCCTCTAAAGACGTGCCAGTTATTTGCGCGAGTTATTATCGCTCGTTAAGAGTCGGCATTCGAGAAGCGCGTTTAACAATTTGCTCGCCACCCCCTTAGCCGGCGCAGCGCGGCCGCTCGCCCTCCTTTTCAGACTCCATTTGTTTCTTTAATTCACTGCTCCGCTTTTTACCCGCCGATTTGTGAGCTCTGCGCGGTATTATCGGCGGATTCCTCCCAACTGAGCGAGAATTTCATCGCTCTTTCACCGTTTCCACATTCCTTATATCCGTTTTACGCGGATCTAATAGAGACGCGAAACAAATGATGACTTACTTATAAACTCAGCCTTCATTAATTCGTGAACAATAGGTTGGTTTTCTGTGGCTGAATTAGTGTACACTTTTGGAACTTAAAGTGAAACAGGTATAATAATGTCTGTCGTATGTTTGACAGACTTTATATCGAATTGTTTGTTTTTATTCCGGCACTAAACTGCATTAAAACTCTCTTTCTCACTTTCGCCAAATGTCAAACATTTATCTCACTTTAACTTGCCAAAAGTGTACACTACAGTTCAGCCACAGAAAATAGATTTATATAGGTAGCAAATTTGAGGCGTTTTTTCGTTATCCAACCAGAAGCTACCACAACTAAGGCTATCTTTGTCTTCAGGGATCAGAAGACGAAGATAGTCTTAGCTGTGGTTGCTTTTGGTTGCACAACGAAAAAACGCCACTTATCACTTGCATTACATTAGATTAGTGGATACTAAAAGCTGCTATACGTAAAATTAACAAAATTACATGTAAAAGCATGTAAATATTTTAAACGATTGAACACCCTACGGAGATATCGTTACATTATTGAACAGAGCATACATGTATTATTCCAGTATCAAAATTGATTATATTATGCCACTGCATTTGATACTTTATGTAAAGCAGCTTTTAATGTGCACTGATCCAGTGTATTACAGTGCGAGTGACCGAATTTACTATTATAGTATGCGTACAATACGCACATAATACGAACGCGCACGTGTGTGTATTACGTGTGTACATATATCACATATGTGGAGAATAAATTCTCTTTCGAACAAGGAAAGGCCCATTTATGACGGGCGCGCGTAGATAGACGCGAGAAATGGCTCGCGATTCTCGCGCCAGGCCCATTTTCGAAAGTCAATCGACCGTAAGCCCCCTTTTCGTCGATCGCACACGATCGTAAATCTCCCTCGTAACCCTCCGGGTGTGTGTCGCCCGACGCGCCGAATTAGCGTCGATGAGAAATTTTTGACAACCGACGTTGCTTTCCCTAACGTATGTACCTTCTCCTCGCGATCGAAAGCTACATCCATTGAAATATACTTCATTCTATTTGATAATCTCCAATATTTTCATCGTCAGATACAATCAACGGTTTTTCCTGTTCCGCACTTGTCAGAAAATTCAACAAAAGTTTTACATGTAAAAACAGTTCTGTACGTTATATAAGATAAAAAAATGTCCTTTGTGCAAGAAAAAAAAACACTTTTTACAGTTACTAGTAAGTAATTAGATTTGATATAACATTTAAGTAATAATTAAAAAGTTATAGCTTTAGATGCCGAATGCTTTGAAAAATGTTTTTTCTTTTAAAATCATTAATTATTATAAATACTAAATTAAATTAAAATTAAAAAAAATATATTTTCTTAGATAAATTATACATGTTATGTTTCATTATGTTTTTCATTTATATTACCTTAGTATCTATTTCCCGCGTCTTATTTTCGATTTCTACCTTTTCCTTGAAGACGACAGAGTTTCTATCCGAGAAAAATTAAGGCGTGGCGCTCCACTCTAAATGTCACCTTCGGATACGGCATTCGCGCGCGCGGCGGTCGCGGGAATATAAAATATCTGCGCAAGAGAACACACCATCCTGGCGTTCCTCTCGAGTATCCCGCACCGACGTGTGTGCCTGCCTTGTCACTGACACAATGAGTCGAAGATTATCTACGATGGGATTCGCTGACGTTACGACGCTCGTGGCCAACCCCCTGTACTCGTCCTCCGCCTCCCCATCGCTCTCCCTTCGCCGAGTCTGGAAAGAAAGAAAGAAAGAAAGAGCTCACCCGCGGTCTTCTCCTCTCCTCTTGGGTTTCCGGGGTAAGTCTCCGCGGACGAGAGGAGGGAAAATACATGATCTATGGTGACAGCGGTATTGTTCGCCGAAATGCGAAAAAGTCTCCGGAGGCGGTGGAGCGTTTGAATTTTCCACACCCCTTACGCAAACGTCGTGCTCGTGGAGAGAGGAAGAATCAGGGGAAAAAGAAGAGAGAGCAAAAAGAAAGAAACAATAATTTAGAAGAAAGACAATTTGTTGTTATCGTAACTTGTTGCTAGCTGCAATCTGTTGCATCGTAATTTATTGTTACTCAGTTCTCGAGACTGTTAAGCGAAGAATAACCGAACAATTTTTGTCGTTTGCAGGACACAGCGGGGTAAACCAGCTGGGGGGTGTCTTCGTCGGCGGTCGGCCACTTCCGGACTCAACACGGCAAAAGATCGTCGAGCTTGCACATTCGGGCGCACGGCCATGTGACATCTCCAGGATACTACAGGTCAGCAACGGCTGTGTCTCCAAGATCCTCGGCAGGTTGGTTGCAATATTGCTTGCTCCGTTTGATGCCGCGTTCTTAAATCCGATTAAATCATTGTACATCTTCAAGCGACGTCTACAATGAGATTTTAAGGCGTAAAATTCGGCGTAAAATTTACACTGAGAAAAATATTCTAGTTAAACGAACGAAAAGCCATTGGACCTCTTTGTTGGTTTAACTAGAAGAAATTGACTAATCACAGTTGAATGTGAGAAGAATAATTGATTATGATTAATTTTTTTACTACTTTAAAACTTAAAGTTTAAATTTTATGCTTTAAATTTCATTGTAGACATTACTTTAAGTAAGTTGATCAATTATGTCGTCAATTAAGAAACTTGTTTCAAATCTTGCAGCTTTGCATGAAATATAAGCCTGCACGTCGGTTTGTTTTGCGTTATAAATCGAGTAGATGTAGCTTTTATAAATTTCAATTAAAAGAACATTACACAAAATTACAACCGAGTCCGAGTCGAGAGCTAAGAGAAAGGTATAAGTGAGTCTGGTCAAACATTTGACTAAACATCTGTTGCATGAGGGGCAATCAAGGTATATTGTTCAATACCGACTCTGCATCTATTATTCGAGTATATTTAGGCTATCATAACATGCTTAAAGAGATAGACGTATAATATGTTTCATTTTCAATAGCGACCTGAGCGTTTCCACGTATTCCTACCGCATTGTACCGCAAATTATTATTGTTGTAGGTACTATGAGACCGGATCTATAAGGCCCAGGGCCATAGGCGGCAGCAAACCGCGCGTGGCAACGGCAGAAGTCGTCAGTAAGATCTCGCTCTACAAAAGTGAGTGCCCGTCCATCTTCGCGTGGGAGATTCGAGATCGCTTGTTGCAGGAGGGAGTGTGCACGAACGACAACATCCCGAGCGTAAGTACGACCTACATTCCATCCAATTATTTCTCTTACCGTTATTTGAATAAGGAACCAGAAATTGTAGTGCGGTAGACGACCATTCTATTATTATTGTAGCCAATAGACAGAATTATAATAATATAACTGAAAGTATTTGTCTGCATGGGTCCCAAATACATAAGTTGGCTCATAATTATTACGCGAGAATAATAAAACAAGAAAAAAAAAATTTTTTTTTTTCATAAACAACATATGAAAATTAAATTTAATTAAAAAATGAAAAATTAGTTTCTTTCTTTAAAACTATTTGACTGTCAAAATTTCTTTTTACTAAATCTGCGGAAAGGGTAATAAAGTTGGTGTAAAATGTGTTTTAATTTAATAAAAGCGCGTCACTTTTTATATCAGCCGCGAATATCGGATAGTAAATGAAGATTAAGTAGCAAAGGCTTTCTAAACATCAGATCTTGGTTAATCCATAGTTAAAGTTCGTGGGTGTTATAACCGATTATAATCTAACGAAAATGACAAAAGTTTTCGTGGAGGAATCGGTGTCGCGCGGCAGCGACGGCGGTGGTGGTGGCAGCGACAACAATACAAAGCGCGTCGCAAAACAGCCGTAATGGAGCCTGACTTTCGGCTCGGCGGGTGGAGGTTGTAAACGCGCAGGCGTATTGTCAACGGGGGCTTTGTCTACTCACACAAAACAGGACCGCATTTACATAGATAGCGCGAGTCGGCGGCATGGGGGGATGGAAATCAGTTTTCTGTGGGGTGGCGGCTGGTTGTACCGAGGATGTTTATGCGAGCCGATGGACTCGGGTGGGCGCGCGCGACCAGGACGACGTACAAACTCCTCCCCTTGTCGCGGCTCGGCCGATGTTGTTAACACGAGGCGGTTAATCGCGCAAACGAATGACGGACGATTTGGCGTTAACCGGTTCCGCCCCGATGAGCCGTTGCTCCCCCAACACGAGTCGTTCTTCCGGTCTCGCGATCGCATTCCACGTGGCTCGATAGAACGTGTGTCATTAAAGTTAGAGACCCTCTAATAAGAGTCTGAACGTGAGAAAGTGACTTTTGATTGATCCACTATGTTTTAACAATTCCTGAGAGAGAAGAAGAAAGAGAGAAATAGATAAGAAAAAGATAGAACGGAATGAGAAAGATAAACAAATAGGAATTCTATGTCTCCTTCTCTCTTGCAGATTTTTGTTAAAATTACCATCCTACATACAAAACTGCGGTTCGTGTCTAGACTCTTATTGGAGGATCTCTAATTGAAGTATCGTGCCTCTGATCAACTACAACATGAACAGTAGATGATTGATAACATTCTTCTCTTTTGACAATTTTCAGAACATCGTGATAGTTTAAATTAATTGTTTTTGCTACGCATTACTCGAGTTGTTAATTAGGTGAATAAATTAGGATAAAGACAGACGAAAATGAAGTAAATCCATGGAAAATTGGACGAAGAATAAAGTTTCTTTATCCAATTGCATCTCCAAGTTTCAACTCATTGATTTTTAATCATTTATAGTTCAAAATTTTATTACCTATAACTGAATATCTTTGTTAAGAAAGTAAGTTGAAAAGTAATCGAATTTCTTAGATTTGTATTACCATTACTTTCCAGAGATTTAGATCATATTGTCACATATAATGACTAGCGGAAACACGTACGTTTGATAACAGCTGAAAAAGTATCCAGAGAGACCGAAAAGAATACCAATTCCTGCAGAATCAATTAAGAGATTGCTTGAAGATGGGCGACGCGCGGATCAAAAGGAAATTCCCTGACATCTCTTTCTCTCTCTTTTTTTCTATTTTTCTTCCTTCGACCTGGAAGATCTTCGTGTACACCCCTCGCACGTTCGGCGTTCTCGACGGTGCGGCGCGGCGGGGTTGGTTCTTCCCGTATTCCCGTATACGGCACGGTACCGCCGTTGCCATGGATATTTGCATGCGTCCAATAAACGGTGGCTAAGGGGCTCTCGACTCGCTTAGGGTAAAAAGCGAAAGAGGGTCGCTAAATTCTCTCTCTCCCACGTCACCCTGCGCCATCTCTCCTCGTTTACCGCGGCGTCTCCTTCGTTCTCGTCTCGTCTTCCCTTCCCGAAGCTGGCTGACTCGCTCCCTCGCGCCTTCGTAATAGCTGCGCCGAGGTGTACACGAGTCACCCTCGCAGAAAGACTACGAAAGAAAGTCTCTGGTTGGAGGGTAAAGAGGACAGAAAGGATGACGGTAGAACCGAGAGAGCATTCTTGCGACGCGAGAAAAAAATGTCAAAGGCTCGCTCTTACCCGCGAAAGAAAGCCGTCGAGAGTTCATCCGCAGCTTTTTCTGTGTGTAGCACGTCTTCCCCTTCCCAAAAATTTTAGTATCCACGTCGAGGAAGATAGAGTAAAGCGATTCGTGTGAAACAATTCGCGAAAGTAGTGACATGGCTTTATCATCATGGAAATAAGTCTTTCATGATATAATATTTAACGTGGAGTATAAAACTATTATTGAATATCAATAAATTATGACTGACTTTGCGGCCATGTTAAATAATAGATGTAATGAAGAAAATATTAAAAGACAGAAGAAAAAAATTAGAAGAAATAAGAAATTAATATAATTAATATTTTATTTGTAAACTGCACTTTTTGAAAAAAAAAGAACAACAATTTTCTTCTAAATCTTTCTATTTCATAGATTTATGTCATTTTCTTCAGTCATTAATTATATTTTTATAAATATAATATTTAATATTCTAATTCTATTGACGGAATCACAGTCCTTTCAACTATTAATGTAAAAAGAAAGTGGGATGAAAAATGGCAGGAAAAAACGATCAATTTAATATTAAATAACAAGTATGTTTTACGGCAAGTCGTCAAAGGAGCCGCGTGACTTTTAAGCGGTAACGAGACGCCAGCACAAACAGCGACGTCACAGAATTTCGCGTTTTAACAAATTACAGGAGGCTGCGGACTCCGGTGCGCGCCTTCGGGGCGTTGGAGGATCAAAGCCGGCGCGTAATCCCGGCCGCGTTTGAGCATCCTGCGAGCGCTTCTGAACTTGTTGTGGGCAAGATTAACGTTTCTTTAATGGCCCGTGTAATATTCCATTACGTACAGTTCGCTCGAGAATTATTGCGCTCACGTTAAGGCGAAACGAGGCGTCGAACGAGCGAAACGACGAACGGTCAAAAGGAATTCCGGTCTCGAAATTCAAAGTCTCCCGATATTTCGTCGTTTTTCATCGTTTGAAAGTGGATTATAGTGGATGCATTTTATTGCAATGGAATCAGCACGTGTAAGAATGAATACAATTCAAGAATTGTATTATCTGAAAAATAAAAAATATGATTACAAAATCAACTCTTTGCGTTCACAGATGTACATAGAATCTATTTTTTTTTTATATTCTGAGAAATAGATGTATATATTAATACATTTGTCTTTGCAGCATTCGAACATATACATAATAACACAAATATACTTTCACGTGACTTACGCTACTTAACTACATACTGTTTTTGTGAAATTCATTTTTTGAAATTAGAAGAATTTTGAAATGAATCATCATGATAGTTCTAAATTTTCATCGCGCTACATAATATTGTCATAACATTGCGGGAGTGCATAGAATTTTCGTAACTGTCGTCGCATTCCAAAACTTTTGACCAGAATCCATTTCTTGAACGGAAGCACTCGAGGATCCCTTGACTCTTCTTCGATGGGGAGCGAAATAACTCGCGAACGGGATTGATTCGAAAACGTTTCTACTCATTTTCTCTGGTCTGTCTGTACATGTCTGTTCGTGTGCGTGTGGTAGACGATGGAAGACCTCAGTTCGACGGAGAGGGGAGGGGAAAAAGGAGAGAGAGACAGAGAGAGAGAGAGAGAGAGAGAGAGAGAGAGAGAAGACAGGAACGAAGGAACGTATTCTAGGCGAACCGTGGTGATTGGGGGAAATTTCATTATTCTCAGACATTACCCCCGTTATTGTAATGCCATCAAATTGGATACGCTTCGTACACTCTGTGGAACGGGCGAATATCTCGGTCTCCTTTCTCTCGCGTGTCTCTTCCTTCTTCCGCTTCCTTCACGAAGACGCTGAAACGAGCCTCGTCTTGTTGCAGACTTCTCCACTTTGCCCTAATAACTTTATTCGGTATATACATATATTTTGCCCGATCTATAATTAGATAAAATAGGAAGACATACACTTCATATATATTTCAAATTTCCTGCTTGTACTCGGTTCTCTGTCAATCGTTATAACACGCCGTTATGGAGACATGAATTGTTGATCTACGTGCGAAAAAAAAATTTGTTACATGAATCTATTTAACTTAATAAGACTTTTCCTAAAATTGTATTTCTTTGCTTTTATTGAAGATATGTGGTCGCAATTAATCTGTCATCCATAACATAAAAATTTTTTATTATAATAATACATGGTCTCAAGTTTCTCGTTATATAAGTTACTCTTTCTATGCTCATAATGTTTACAATTTTTATACTATACACCTATAATAATTATAGAAATTTGAAGTTTTACTTTTTAGTTATTATTTAAATCCATATTTGATAAATTCTTAGATTTTTACTTGACGATACTTTCGTTTCCAAATCTCTTTAACAATCCGCAGGAAGTGTCGTTCGGATTTTCCATCCCGGCCGCGAGCGTTGCAATGGCCAGATTAAATAGATTACGCGAAAGCAACAGTTTTGCATGTGCGAAATTGTGTAGGCGACCGATCGCATTCGTCCTCTTTCGCGAGAAAGTCGAACGCGCGCAGAATTGCCGAATCGAGCCAATGGCTCGACAAACCAGTAAAGCCCGCAGGACGCGGAGACGGATTCGAAATGTCCTGCGGAGCCCCCGCTATCCGTTTCGTCGTGGAATACCGTTTCGGTCCCTGCCGGATTTGAATCTGGCACCCGGCGTGGCGGACGCGTTATTGGTTTACTCGCGCCACTGGCTCCGGGATGCCAACAGTGATTCTCATTCAAGAA